GGAACATCCGCCTCTAACGACAAGTTTCCGTGATTCGTGATCCGTACCAGGAACAACCGGAAATCTGTTTCAGACAAAGTTAGGCCCATTGCACACGGGGACGTATCAACAATTATGGGCGCAATAAGGTTCACACTGCTAGCCCTCTTCTTTTTCTCTAAGATAGGGTGTCCTAACCACCCAACGCTATTCCATCCGTTCCATTGAACCCCGCTTCTGAAAATCTCCTTTTTGCCGATTATTGCCAATGGTAAATTCATAAAAGCTAATTTTTCAGGAATTTTAGACCAAGCTTCTGATAAACTTAAACTTTGATTTCGGCTAACCCAGCACTAACCCTTCGATATATTTCTTGCTGGAAGTATCCTTGATCCCATTGATAACGAGTAGGACCAAAATAATTCGATGGGGGTAGTTGCTGAACCATACCACATAGTTCCAGTAACAACAAAAGCTGCAAAAAGACAGCAGCTATACTACTGGAAAGGACGGTTTCAATATTTCCCATACGTAATCCTTTGTATAAACGTTGGGGCGGACGGACACTAAGATGGAATAAGCCCGCTAATATGCCCAATGTCCCTGCTGCAATATGATGAGAGGCTATTCCTCCCGGAACAAAAGGATCAAAACCTTCCACGCCCCACGCTGGATTTACAGGTTGTACCTTTCCGGTTAGTCCATAAGGGTCGGACACCCATATTCCAGGACCATACAATCCTGTTACATGAAATGCGCCAAAGCCAAAGCAAGCCACTCCTGAGAGAAATAAATGAATTCCAAAAATCTTGGGCAAATCCAAAGAGGGTTTTCCTGTGCGCTCATCACAAAAAATTTCTAGATCCCAATATACCCAATGCCAGATAGCTGCCAAGAAGCACAAGCCAGAAAACACAATATGTGCTCCGGCCACACCTTCGTAACTCCAAATACCCGGATTTGTTATAGTCCGCCCCGTAATACTCCAACCGCCCCATGAATTGGTTATTCCTAAACGAGTCATGAAGGGTATAACGAACATACCTTGTCTCCACATTGGATCAAGAACGGGATCGGAGGGATCAAAAACAGCTAATTCATATAGAGCCATTGAACCGGCCCAACCAGCAACCAGAGCTGTATGCATTATATGAACAGAAAGCAAGCGACCGGGATCATTCAATACGACAGTATGAACACGATACCAAGGCAAACCCATGGAAATACCCCTTTATCAAATCAACGAAAAATAGACACTATGTAACTTTATTGCATTGGAATACCTCCCCTTTTCGGTGGATTCTTTCGGAGAAAGGATTAATGTTTGTTCTATTCCATTAGTAATAAGGGAAGAATTCGGCTCAGAAGAAAAAAGAGAAGCAGATCTATTCTATACTCGATAAGTATCAATACGCAATGGGGGTTGATCCTATTTTTTATGAATGAATGCATCCCTATTTGTTCATCATTCAAAGGACCTATTCGTAAGAATTCTCTTTCATTCATTCCGCCTTTCTTTATTTTATGGCCTTAGTCTATCTATGTATAAAATATGATAAAGGCCCATATTATTAAGACCATTATTACATATTATTAAGATAAGACCATTATTACGTATTACATTACGTATTACGCTTCCACAATCAAAGTGAAATATAATATTACATATTATAATATTACATATTATTAAGATAAGACCATTATTACGTATTACATTACGTATTACGCTTCCACAATCAAAGTGAAATATAATATTACATATTATAATATTACATATTATTAAGATAAGACCATTATTACGTATTACATTACGTATTACGCTTCCACAATCAAAGTGAAATATAATATTACATATTATTAAGATAAGACCATTATTACGTATTACATTACGTATTACGCTTCCACAATCAAAGCGAAATATAATTTTACATTCTTTTTACTTTATGCCTGTTGGTATTCCAAAAGTTCCTTTTCAAGTTCCGGGAGATAACGATGCAAGCTGGGTTGACATATAGTGCGACTTGTCAAATATATTGGGTCATATGGGATTCCCCCGTTCTCTCGCCCGATCGAGATATCCCCTGTTTCGCCCCAAAAAGATTGATTGAATTATCAAAAATTTGTAGCGGGAAGTGTAATGAAGTGCAATTAGAGATCCATTTCATGGGGGTGTATCCAGATTAATATTTTCAATTAGAATGATTTATGGTTGGCTTGGTTGGACTGATAAAATGAAGTATCCAGGCTCCGTTTAGAAAAAACCCAATTGGTAATATATTTATGATTACCACCTATATCATAATCATAATTTTTCTTTTTTTTTTAATTATAAATAAGAGCGATTTCAAACTGTTAATCAATCGAATAATATGGGAAATACGTTGAATATTTGGCGAAAAACATGAAAGAAAAAGGAATTAAATTAAAATAAAAAAAGGAAATGAAATCATAGCAAAAAGACGTGGTATTGGGTCATTTGTCCTATATGTGCAAATAAAAATCGGGCAGATCTTTACTCGGAGTAGAGCATAAACCTAAAAAAATTGAATAAAAAATTGACGAACCCCATTCAGGAACAAGAAAATGACATCGTGATTTGGATTGAATCGCAATGAAAAAAAAATGGATCAATGAAAAGTTTGTGCAATAAGTTTAGCGAATTTTTTCTATATTATAGGAAAACGGGCCAAAACTCATCTTTCTTTAATTTAATTTTAAATTTCATTTTATTTAAAAAATGTAAGAAAAAGCCCCTTCATTAGAAATTAGAAGTTAGAAAGGTCCGACTAGAAAAAACAAAGGATGGCTGGAATCTACACATTGATTTTTTTTCGCAATTTTTGTTGAACCGTATGCATCAAAAGGTGCCTGTACGGCTACTAAGGGATACAATTTTATCCTAATCAACCGAATTTATCGAGAAAGATTGCTTTTTTTGGGCAAAGAGCTTGATATCCAGACCTCGAATCAACTTGCGGGTATTATGATCTATCTCAGTATAGAGAGTAATAGCCGAGACCTGTTTTTTTTTATAAACTCTCCTGGCGGAGGGATAGTATCTGGATTATCTCTTTTTGATACTATGCAAGCAGTGGAACCAGATGTGCATACACTAGCCATGGGATTGACCGCTTCAATCGCAGCTTTTCTCTTGGTCGGAGGAGAAATTACCAAACGCAGAGCATTCCCTCACGCTCGGCGCCAATGAGTTTTTTTTTTTATTATTGATGGAAAGAAAAAAGAAGACTATGCCTTCGCCATATGAAATATGAATTAGTAAGTAATAATAGCATGGCACTTTGAATTCGATATGAAATTTTTTTTTTATTTCTTTTTTTTTTTTTCAAAAAAAAATATTAGATTATGTATCGAAAGAGTAGTATGAGAGAAGGGGCATTTCCAATTTGATCTTAGCTATCGTGGGCCCATCTCAGGCGTCACAAACTTTTTTTCTTTTCCTACCAGAGGCTATTAACAATATTTATGTTATGAAAGAGTACGAAAAAAAAAAAGACTATTTTTTTTCTTTCTTTTTTTTTTGAAAAAAAAAAAAGAAACTTTGGGATTGCTGAATCACAGACGAAATAAATATATAAAGCAACGGAGCCATCATAGTATTTTTAAACTTTTCCGAAAAAAAAAGAAAAAGAAGGATGGTAATTGGATTATTTATTAATCTGGGTCTAATAGACTCTATATTTTCTCTTTTTTTCGATGAAAGAAAAAAGAGAATTCCATTGTAAAGCCGTATGCAATTGTAAAGCCGTATGCAATGCGCAAAAAATGCCTGTACGGTTGTTCAATTCTATAGCTATTCTTCTCGCCTCATTATGTGAGTTAGAAGTATGTTATATCATCAGGGTAATGATCCATCAACCTATTAGTATGCTTAAGGATGATGGCTTCAAAGACTGGGTCATGGAAACAGACGAAGTAATGAAAATGCAAGAAGACATCATAGAGGCTTATGTACAAAGAACGGGCCAGCCCCGATGGGTTATAAACAAAGACATGGAAAGAGATAATTTTATGTCAGCAAAAGAAGCCAAAGATCATGGAATTGTGGATCATATAGTGCGTACAGAATCGAGACCTATAGTGAATGAAAAACCTATAGTGAATGAAAAACCTATAGTGAATGAAAAACCTATAGTGAATGAAAAACCTATAGTGAATAACAAACCTATAGTGAATGAAAAACCTATAGTGAATGAAAAACCTATAGTGAATGAAAAACCTATAGTGAATGAAAAACCTATAGTGAATAACAAACCTATAGTGAATAACAAACCTATAGTGAATAACAAACCTATAGTGAATAAAAAATGGAGACTAGTTAACGACAATGGCAATGGAAGACCACCATTTGACGACAATGGCAATGGAAGACCACCATTTGACGACAATGGCAATGGAAGACCACCATTTGACGACAATGGCAATGGAAGACCACCATTTGACGACAATGGCAATGGAAGACCACCATTTGACGACAATGGCAATGGAAGACCACCATTTGACGACAATGGCAATGGAAGACCACCATTTGACGACAATGGCAATGGAAGACCACCATTTGACGACAATGGCAATGGAAGACCACCATTTGACGACAATGGCAATGGAAGACCACCATTTGACGACAATGGCAATGGAAGACCACCATTTGACGACAATGGAACACCATTTAATTTTGATTTAGATTGATTTAATCCCTCTTATTCCTTTCCTTCTTTTTCTCTTTAATAGATTAATATTTTATTAATCTATTAAAGAGAAAAAGAAGTAATTCATAATCATCTGGTTAGGATCGATCTAAACCAGTCTATTATGTATATGATTGTATATGATTCAGCATGCCAACTATTAAACAACTTATTAGAAATGCAAGACAGCCAATTAGAAATGTCACGAAAGCCCCTGCTCTTCGGGGATGTCCTCAGCGCCGAGGAAGATGTACTAGGGTGTATGTGCGACTTGTTCAGATCATGGGCTGAGAAAAAGGAAACAATTTTTCAGTATCAACGATCAGTACCAGTGAATAGAATGGGGTTCTTCCGTTCACTATCTAAAAAAGATAGATCTACCATATCCTTCTATTGTGTATGAAATTTATGGTTTCCATTGGCGCAAATCCAATCTTGGAATTTTTTAAAAATTCCCCATTGGTAGCAAATGCTTATCCATTAAGCGGGGAAAATCCTATTTAAAAAGCAAAAAGATTATGCTTCGACTCTTGCAAAGAACGGACTAACAGGGTCAGCTACCCAATTAATCCTCCTAATTACATACCGTTACTGTATAAGATAGATCTCGTTGTGAAAGATCTATTACTGAAAAATTTATGAGTAGAGCCGAAGAGTGTGAACTGTACAAGTTACCAATTAAATGTTAAATGAAGGAATGAGCTCCGGTGTATAGAGGGGACCTCACCGTTTAAGAAGTAACCATAGAAACGATGGAACCCACTATTTATTTATCCATTTCTATTTACTCCTTTATTTTAGTTAATATGCTTTTTTTGATACCTAGTATCAATACAATTTCTTATTTCAAGGCGAAATGAAATGCCTAGAAAAAAGGAAAAATCGTGGGCGGGACGGTTATAGTAGCAAAAGCCATTGGAATTTTTATTTTATACATTGGAAGAATCCGTTTTGTTATTAATAGACTAGAAAAGAATAACTGAAAGAAAGAATTAGTTATTCATCAAAATTTCTTTTATTCAATGACCAGAATGAAAGAGGGATATATAGCTCGGAGACAAAGAGTAAGAGCTTTGGTTTCGGCTGATCGGGATAGAGATAGGAAAAAAAGATATTTTCGTCGTTTGTGGATCACTCGAATAAATGCAGGAATTCGAGGAATGGGGGTATCCTATAATTATAGTAGATTAATAAAAAATCGGTACAAGAAACAGTTGCTTCTTAATCGTAAAATACTTGCACAAATAGCTATCTCAAATAGGAATTGTCTTTATATGATTTCCAACGAGATTATAAAATAAGGAGATCGGAAGGAATCCACCGAAATGCTTTAAATGAAATGGGGTTCCCTCGAGAATGAACTCGAGGGAGGTAGAGTAGAAATTAATATGATAAAAAAATTCTGATAAGGTCATCAAAACAAGAAAACAAGATGAGCGAAGACGCTCAATAAAAAAAAAAAAAATTTATTTTTCTTCCCCAACCCGATTCGATTCTTTTATTTATTTCTTTTTTCTTACGACACGACAATTTTGATTATCAGATTTTTTGAATAAAGCATCAGTCTACGTTTGATAATTTTGAGTCAATTGAAGGGTAAGCCTATTTATTTCTGGTTCTAAGAGCAGTAGTTCTAGCGGTCGACTCTCTTCTTTCAAATCGTTTCTCATTTCTGGTTCTAGTTCTAGCGGTCGACTCCCTTCTTTCAAATCGTTTCTCATTATTAATAAAGGGTAACGAAGATAAAATACGAGCTTGTTTTATAGCAATAGTAATTAATCGTTGTTGTTTTAAAGTCAATCTATTTACTCGCCTAGATAAGATTTTTCCTTGTTCACTAATAAATCGACTAATTAAACTCATGTTTCTATAATCAATTCGATCCCCCGATTGGATCGGGGGCAAACGCCTACGAAAAGATCGCTTGTATTTATCCATCATTTCTTTATTCCTTATTTCTAAAAATAATCCTATCCTATCCTTTTCTAAAATCCTATTTTGATCGGATCAAATTCAAATTATAGAATTAATAGAATAAATACGATTTGCTTTGTTTTTTTTATTATTGTATTATTTATTTATTATTTATTTCTTATTTATTTGTTTATTTTATTAGTTTATTTTAATTATTTATTTATTATTTATTTGTTTATTTTATTAGTTTATTTTATTATTATATTATTTATAGATATTTATTTAAATATAATTTCATATTTTAATATATTTAATATATAAATATAATTTCATATTTTAATATATTTAATATATAAAATATAAATATAATTTAATATTTTAATATATTTAATATATAAATATAATTTAAATAAATATCTATAACTGTGATAATACATAAATAATAAATAAATATAATTTATAAATATATATAGAACCGACACGAAAATAATAAATAATTAATAAAATAAGAAATAAATAATGAAATATAGTAATAAATACAAAATATAGTAATAACTAAAAATATAGTAATGAATAAATCATACAATATAATAAATAATACAATATTAACAATATTAAAATTAACAACAATATTAAAATTAACAATATTAAAATAATCATTATGCACGAATAGAAAATAAAAAAAAAAATAGTTAGTGATATTAAAAATCTAATTCCTAATCAATGAAAATCCAACTCCTAATCATTCGAAGACTGTAAACTAAAAATCATTCGAAGACGGTAAACTAAAAAAATAAATAATTGACTCGAGAATAAAGAAAAAAATTATTAAAAAAATAAGAACTAAATAAAAAATAGAATAAAAAAAATAAAAGAATATTGATACAATCATATACCAGGTTAAAAAGGTTAAAAATTTATTAACGTGCATATAGAATAATTTAAAACTAAAAACTTCACTTTAAAAAGAAAGCGTGGAATAGACAAGGAAATACAAATATAGACTAATATATAAATAAAATATTTGTTATATATTAGTTATATATTATATCTAACTAATTATATACTTAATATTACTTAATATATTATATAATATATATTATTATACCTGAATACCTAATGTCCTATTTTCTCATACTAAATACCTAATGTTACCTAAATACCTAATGTCCTATTTTCTCATATTCTCGGGAAGGGTTGACATACGAGTACTTGATTCGATTTATTTCTTTATCTCCCCGTGAATTGTATGTTTGTAACAATAGGAACAGAATTTCTTCAATTCCAATCGACTAGGCGTATTGTGTCGATTTTTTTGAGTAATATACCTGGAAATGCCCGTTGATTCCTTATTAACGACGTTTCGAACACAACTGGTACATTCCAAAATAATCGTTACTCGGACATCTTTACTCTTGGCCATGAACCCCCTTTGAGTTTTTAATTCACCCAACTCTTCTATTTTCCGATCAAAAGTGAAGAAGAAAGGAATGAAAATAAATAAATAAAAGTTGCTAACTCAAAACCAAATCCTGAAAGATTTCGTTGCAATCAATTGCAATCAATATAGTAAATCAATATGTATTATACTAATAGTAAATAAGTAATACAATGATTTCTAACTCGATTTAGAATCACAGTACGGTATTTTCTTTAAGTATCTTGTAGGATACTGTTGTTCCAGCCACATTTCTCTTTTCGCTCTACTAGTAATTTAATTGGAGCTTGAACCCAAGTTTTGTTGAGGTTCAATCCACTTTTTTCGTTCTACCTTCCTTATTTATTTTATATAATTCTTATATAATTAGAATTCTAAAAAAACTAAATAGAATTATTTCTTATATAATTAGAATTCATTTCTTATATAATTATAATTCTAAAAACAACTAAAGTCAAGGGGGGGCGAGAGATTAGTCACAGATATTTGATTGTATATCGATCTAATCTTTTTCACCCCGTCCCGCGACAATAACTAGAATTAAAAAAAAGGGAATGTTAACGCATCCGGGAAGAAACGATTGATCTCTATCAATAAACCCGCTAAAGAACCGAACCAGAGAGTACTTAGTACCGGTGCTACGGAAAGATATGTTTTTAGATCTCGCATTTAAAATCCTCCTTCTTTATCGTATTACATACATTATGGTAATACATATATAATCACATGTATGTGTGGTTAAAGACCACTTGTATTTGTATATTTGTACCCGGAATTCCTAATTCAAAATTAAAATTTAAATGTACAATGATTCGATAGATAAGATTTTCCTTTTCTTAAAACAGCAAAATAGGTCCCTTTCTGCCTGAGAATTCCCGCCAAAAAGATTCATTTATTATTCATTATATGGTTGTTATATGATATGAGACCAAAAAGAGGAAATGGAAAGATAATTTTTGTATATCAATAGATGAAATAAGGGTGTGGAAAACAAGACAGGGATTCTCTACAATAACATCGTAGGCCAATTGAAAGGGATGTAGCGCAGCTTGGTAGCGCGTTTGTTTTGGGTACAAAATGTCACGGGTTCAAATCCTGTCATCCCTACCTATTACTTCTCCTTTGAGCAGTAAGGAGGGAGCCATTTTAGTTTTAGATTGATTAAAATTAAGCATACATAATCTATCATTTTCTCATATTATATATGATATATGATAGTATAGGTGTGCACGATGTATTGGGGTTATAAAATAAAAGAATCCTCTTTTTTACAGTCTTATTTATTATGATAAGAAAGCGCTCTTAGTTCAGTTCGGTAGAACGTGGGTCTCCAAAACCCAATGTCGTAGGTTCAAATCCTACAGAGCGTGATTCCGCTCTTGTTAAGTCGAAAATTACACCGAACTGAAAAAAAAAAAAAAAAAAAAAAAATTGAACAGCAATTCGAATTTGACCTCCTTGAATTAAATTAATTAAATTAAAATTAAAGGGGTCAGTCAAAAAAAGAGATGTTAATTAATCAAAGGTCCAACTGATCACCACGTATGTATTGTAAATATGCGGTTACGAATAATCCAGCCAAAGTAATAGGAATTAGACCTAAGACGATTCCAAATAGAAAAACTTCAATCATTTCAATTTATTTGAAAGGAGAAAAAGAAAGGTAATATCTATCCCTAAATATTAATCTCTATTGCCCATGAATATCAATAACTAATAATTGATAATTAACACGGTAAGGAACTATAGAATATATGGAATAGGACAGAAAACTTTGTTTTTATTAATTGTTCGTTCATTCAATTAATTTTCAAATAAGTCGTATCTTACTCAGACCAATAAATAGAGCTGAGGTTATAGTTAAAGCCGCTAGTAAAAAACCGAAATAACTAGTTAGAGTAGGCATGAAGGAGCTAAATGAAATATGTTCTTTTTATACATATGTTTATAAAGCACTTACCTAAGTTTCAATTTTTAAAAGAGACGGGGATAAGCAAAAATACCAATTGAAAGAATAAGTTCAATTGAAATTTTTTGATTCATCAATCATTCTAAACGGTATTCACAAAAATAGAGCGGCAGGACAAGAGTAGAAAAGAAAAAGAAATAGATTCATCATCTTTGTAGTTAGGTCAAGAAAAAACCTTTGGATCTAATACAAGAATACAAGAAAGGCCGCCTCACAAATATTGATTAGTAGAATTTTTTTTTATTCCTTGCTCTTTTTTTATCTATATCTAATACTATCGACTACTCTTACTTGTTACTAGACGACTAAGCAATTCCTTAAAATAAAAAAAGGAGGGCTTACAACAAAAAACAAAACCTCTTATGCAATTACGAAAAAAAGTCAATTTTTAGATTTCGCATCTAATTGACTTGCGGAAATATGATAATTTCCTTCATGAATTATTATAAACTTGTTGGATTCACGGGTTACCTGATCTTCCGTTTCTAGCCCCAAACCAATAATAGAATCCCCTATATTATATTCCAGGAATTTGAGGAATTTTCTATCGCATGATACGTGGTTATACATCGACAAGCAAGAAGAAGAAAGAAATTATCTAGCACTTCATGTCGATATACTGTTTGAAATTGCGTTGCTGTGTCAGAAGAAGGATAGCTATACTGATTCGGTATACTCTAAAAATACCTTTGGTACAATATTGACGATCTCACAAAGATTGAATTTCAGTGAATTTCCGTTTACTGATCTCATCTTTTACGGAATCGATCCCCTACAAGAATATGCGGAGCTCAGCATGTCTGGAAGCACAGGAGAACGTTCTTTTGCTGATATTATTACCAGTATTCGATACTGGATCATTCATAGTATTACTATACCTTCCCTATTCATTGCGGGTTGGTTATTCGTCAGCACAGGTTTAGCTTATGATGTGTTTGGAAGCCCTCGTCCAAACGAGTATTTTACAGAGAGCCGACAAG